TATATATATATATATACACACACACAACCACAATTAAATTCACTAGAGGGACATTTCACATGGACAGTATTTATTTCTTACAATAAGCTGGAATGAAAAAAAGCAAAAATGAAATAAAAGCAGTAACTTTCTTCTTCTTGCCTTTTTAAAAAAACAAGGAGTAGAAAGTACAGATAACTGCACTCTAAAAATGAAATGTTGGATTTACTTAACCATGTTATGTGACCCCGCCGTTCCACTTAACTGAGTTGAGTAAATTCAAAGCAACATACTCATGTTCTTTGGTTAAAAAACTGGTATATTGCTTTGAATTTACTCAACTCAGTTAAGTGGAACCAGGTCACATAACATGGTTAAGTAAATCCAACATTTCATTTTTTACAGTGTGTATGAAAATGTAAGAAGAAGAAGTGAAAAGTAGGCTGAAAAATAATTACTCAAATGAAGTGCAGATACCCAAAAATTCTACTTAAGTACAGTAAAGAAGTATTTGTACTTAGTTACTTTACAACTCTGGTTAATGAGCCAGAAAACAACACAATAACCACCTAATTAACAACTAAAGTATGTTTTAAAATTAGTTTATGAATGCTATTTTTGTAGTTTAAACAAATATGTGTTTAGGATATATTATTATATAAAAAAGACAGAACTGATTAATTTCTTGACAAGGATAGGGCTAGTATACAGATACTTGTCCCATTCATTGAATAATTTGGGGATTTTTTCCTTCAGTTAGTCATTCAAGATAAAACACAGGATAAAGACTTTAGACAAATAAAATGTTTTAAGTGCAACAAAATAAAACAATTTAACAGTAAAAAAACAATTCCCCTATTACCTTCTACTACACTCAATTGTTTAAGAAAAAGTCACCAGTGCAAAATAAAAAAGCAGCAACAATGCAGCAAAAATATAAATTTAACAATGTCAACACAACAAAAATGAACCTCCACATGAAGAAATTTCTTCTGTTTATTAAATGCATTATAAAGTCAGTAGTGCAGATAAAGTGTGAAGAAAAGAATCAGTCTCATCACTATTGATATGCCCACGCCTAATAAACAGTTAACCAACATTGTTGCAGTTTATTTGTATTGTTTATAAACACACAACATTGTTATATGCATGAAAGCATTTTGCACATCTGTAGATACAAAGTTTGTCTTAAAGTGAGCTGAGCTACAAGCAAAAGTTTATCTGAACAAATTAATTTTTTTTTTTTTTTTTTTTGCAACCTACCCCAGTAGTGGGGTAGGTTGTAAAAGAGGAACACTGTATTTGACATCAACTCACAAGATCTGTGCTAATCTTGCAGAGGTTTGAATCGGTGCCAGTTGTAGTAAACAAATGTGTACTTTGTCTAAAAGGTTGAAAACACTACTCAGTGAGATACAGGTGCTGAAGACTCCCTCACAACACTTCATCTGGCCATTGTGTTTAGTGTTATAAGTATTTTTAGAAATGCTTAATGCTTTGTGTGTACATAATGATAAAAACATTAAAAAATGTAATTTTAAATGTAAAGTGGTACCAAAAATATGTCTTGTCATTTTGCATATTAAGTTCTTATTTTTAAAATTGTTTTCAGGTAATTCAGGGGTTTCTTGTAGGTTTATTTTCTTTGCTTTGCTCATTTTTATGCAACCTTTTTTTGTGTTTACATAAACTGAAAAATTGACACGAAAAGGTTTGAATCCCAGTGAACACACATTGCAAGGGGGCGTCTGATGCTGAACCTCTCATGAAGTCATGTCAGGTGAGCGTTCCTGGCATGACACCAGAATATAAAGCTTTAGGTTACAAAGGTAAAGCAGTTCGAGCATGTTTTTTTTTTCTCTCTCTCTGCAATGCAACTCAAAAACGCTCTGAGAAAGCACAATATTACACAGTACAAGAGCACAAAGAAAGTGTTTAATTTATTAAAACTGCATGTTTTTTCAGGTCATCACAAGCGGCACAAAACAGATTAACAAAGAAAACATTTGCATATTTTTGCAGCAACATTTATCAAACTTTAGTCAGCTTTCCCAGAAGTTTCGGCAAGTGATACAGAGAGCTGCAGTCATATATGAATTTGAATCAGTCATCTTTTATTAGTATTACTCACTGAAAGTGAAGAGAATAACTGTCGATCTTTTACTTTCATATGTTTTGTTTCAGCAAAAAAAAAAAAAAAAGGTTTGAATAAACAAGTTAAATATTGGTGTAAAAATCAACAAGAAAAAAAGACAGTGGGGGGAATAAAGGTGGAGAGGCGGGGGAGGGTATTCAGGGGAGAGACATTCTGAGTGTGTGTGTGTGTAGTGTGTGTGTATGAGTGAGTTCAGTGGCCCTCTGCAGGATGAGATTCGGTTGGACTCTGATCTTGAGGTTTATTTAAGCTGAATTCCGTGGGCTCATCAGGACCGGGTTACAAAAATCCTCCTATAGAACAAGAAAGAATGTGCAGCGCATACAGTTCTGCATAAGGCACAAAGGCATGTCTTTAGAGGTGGGGGCAGGCATCAAAAGACAGGCAGAGGAGGGATTTCTCTTTTACTGGCTGGGGGCAAAGAATGTATTTTGGAGCTCCATTCAAAGCCAAGGCGAAGCAGGGGAGGCGCTCAGTTTTGTGGTAATGGGCGCGTTTACAGGGGGGCGGGGGGGGGGGGGGGTGGAATCTTTAAAAACCTCACTGTAAACTTCTGCTGTGGCTGGAGGTCAACTGGCTGCCGTTCTGTTCGCCCGGAGCCAGACGGGCTGTCATTTATTTAATACTTGTTTTTAAACTATTTTCAACTGTCAGGGCAAAGTTTTACTGCGAGCCAAGATGTCTCGCAGCAGGTTAGAAACATTTGGGAGGTTTGTAATAAGCAGAAGGAAATAAATTTAAAAATGTAGCAAATAATCAATGAAAACAGTTTTCATACAGAAAATGCTCTCAGAATTGATGAAATGTAATTTTTTATCTTATATTGCAATTAAAGATATTGATGTTTAATAAATACAAGTAGATAAACACAAGATTACTGTATTTATTCATGTATAATACTAGAAATTTAACCCTAAAAAGCATCCATATAGTGTGTGTGTGTGTGTGTGTGTGGGGGGGGGGGTAGTATTATACACGGGTTATTGATAATTACATTTTTAATGCTTTTTAAGCTCAAAAATGATCGTATCATACTCGAGATATTATACATAAATAAATATGGTAATTTCAATGTGAATTTAAAAACTCTTGTCAACAAATATTCTTTAAAAATGTGACCCATCATATTGAAATGAGGATTAAGTCAAATTAGGTCAAAATGACCTAATTACATTTTTAGATTCTTGGCTTTAAAAGCTACATTTTGATACCTGGATCATTCTGTTATCATAAGTAAATCCATATTTGACTTAATTTGTCTTGTTGGTTACAATAATATATAAAAATTTGGACTGAATCCTAATTTTATGTCACTTTAATGAGAAATCTTTGATGGATTATAAAGAGGAAACCTCGAATTTTATTTGAATATTGAGATTTCCCAGCTGGAAAGAAACAAAACTTTGCTAGCTCA